TTAAAACGACATTGAGTATATTGGGTAGAAAACTGATTATGAAAACCTGTACCATTTTGATGAGGGTTGTAGTGGCTCCCCAAATTTCAGCTCCGTACAGTAGAACTGTATTGACGTTCGTATTGAAAATTCTAACTTTGATATTAGTATACAGACAGTTGTTTTGAGTCCCATATGTTATTCAACTGTAAGAATACTGTCCTTACTTTGTCAATCTAGGCATTTACATCAGCATCAGTTCCTCCACGTTCATCGATGGTGCTACCCAGATACGTGAATGTTTCCACCTCTTCCAAAGTTTCCCCATCAAGTGTGATTGAGTTGGTGTTCTCTGTGTTGTATTTGAGGATCTTGGTTTTCCCCTTGTGTATGTTGAGGTCTACTGACGAAGGGGTTTTCACTACACTGGCTGTTTTCACCTGCCTGTAGCTCTTATCGAATTACTGCCGGTCTCGAGCAGAACAGAGAAACTCGAGGCACAAGCTGAATACACAGAAACAAACAAGCAAGTGGAGAGGAGCATTAGAGCCGACAAGCAGAAATACGTGAAACACCTAGCAAGGATAGCAGGAGAAGATACAAGGGAAGGGAGTATGAAACAACTATATGACACAACGCAGAAAATGGAAGGAAAATATGCTGGACCGGAAGGACCGGTCAGAAACAAAGAAGGCTAGTCAATCGCCGAGATCTAAGAACAGCGGAACAGGCGGATAGAGCACTTTGAAGAGTTATTAGGTAGGTCAGTTCGACTGAACCCGCTGGACATCGAAATAGCACACACATACCTTTCTTTAGATTTCACCCCGCTAACAATCGAATAAACCGTCATGGCCGCCAGACAAATCAAGTGTGGAAAAGCAACACGACCAGACAACATACCACCCAAGCACTGAAGTTAGACACAGAAGTAAATGCAAACATAATCCACGTTCTATTTAGAGGAATTTAGGAGGAAGGAGAGTTGCCGACAAACTGAAAACAAGGATAACTCATAAAGATATCAAAGAAAGACCTGAACAAGTGAGAGATCTATAAAGATATCACACTACTATCAGTATCAGGAAAAGTCTTCAACTGTGCCGTTGAACCGAACGAAAGATTCAGTAGACACCCAACTTCAACATCAAAAGACCGAGTTCTGTAGGATCGGTCGTTCACAGACCAAACTGAGACACTACGGACCACCGTTGAACAATCAGTTGGATGGAATTTGTCACTACATATAAATTTCTTTGACTGTGAGAAAGCATTTGACAGTGTGGATAGGTGACGTTATTCGGCATTATGGTGTACATGACAAAATCGTCACCATAATACGGGATTCACACTACGAACTACACTGAAAAGGTGTGCATGTAGGACAGCTGAGAGACGCATTTCAAGTGAAGACCGGAGTCATACGAGGCTGCCTACTCTCTCCCTTTCTCTTTCTTCTGGTGGCTGACTGGATTATGAGGACCTTGACATCTGACAGGAAGTAGGGAATAAAATGGACAGGTTTGATGCAACTAGACGATTAGGACTTCTCAGATGACCTGCCCCATCCATACCATACACATCAACAAATGCAAGTCAAGATAACTATCGTAGCAGAAACTTCTGCGTCAGTAGACCTCAACATACACAAGGGGAAAACCAAGATCCTCAAATACAACACAGAGAACACCAACTCAATCACACTTGATGGGGAAACTTTGGAAGAGGTGGAAACATTCACGTATCTGGGTAGCACCATCGATGAACGTGGAGGAACTGATGCTGATGTAAATGCCTAGATTGACAAAGTAAGGACAGTATTCTTACAGTTGAATAACATATGGGACTCAAAACAACTGTCTGTATACTAATATCAAAGTTAGAATTTTCAATACGAACGTCAATACAGTTCTACTGTACGGAGCTGAAATTTGGGGAGCCACTACAACCCTCATCAAAATGGTACAGGTTTACGTAATTAGCTTACGTTGAAGTACTCACTCACTTTTTTTATCTGACTTGATAATATCATACAGTACGTTAACATAACTGTTTCAACTGCTTACTTTAATGAAGAACATTACCTGTACCATCCACATTATCATGATTCCAATCATATCTTCATACTTAAATCTATAATGTTTTCACTAAGTATCAGTAGGATTTTATCATTTTTCAACTTCTCTCTTGTTAAAGTTTTACTTTAGATATATACACTGAATTTAACTAACTATTAATTTAAATTCACTTGATATTGTTTACTTGTATCTTCTCATTGTTATTTAGGACTACAATTGATCTGTCTCTTGTTGGCATATGTGCATCCTATGCGAACTATCTCGATATTTCCTTAAGTAACAAGCTTTATAAATAAAGATGGATAGTGGCTAGTAGTGGAATCCAGGACGCGCATTTCGTCCTAAGTGGATAACGCCATGGTGTTTGAAACGATTGATACTGGGTTCGAGTCCCAGATTGAACATCAACTCTGAGATGCAGGCACATCCAGCTGACGAGTCTCGAATAGGATAAAGTGCGCATCAAACTGTATTTCACTGCTAGTCACTATCTATCTTAACTATTAATTTCGTTCACATCTTTTAACATTGGTTTTATTTGTGATTGAAAATCAATTATACATAAATATGATAACGAAAATTCTTATTTCGACGTTTATTGAATAATTGAAAAAACTAAACAATTACTTTTATGTCCTGATAACCCTTCGAATATATCACGTGGCTTATCGCCAATTAGAACACCGATTTATTCACTAGACCAATGATGCATAAACCAGTACGAGCAACGTAGAGTCAACACTGAGTTCTTATTGGTCCGCTGAGATAGTAACTTCTTGCTTAACACAGTCGGTTCACTCCAGTGCACCAATATCAGCCTCCACCATATGAATCATACATTCCAAACACACTCAGTTTATATACAAACAAATCAGATCATATCATACCATAAAATAGGAAATAACAATTATACAAGATCAAACCAAAATGTGGCTGTGATTGTGAGAGACTGTAATTAATAGATTGGGAATAACTTAAGAATAATAATAAATAGGTTAAATGGAAGCTTATAATAATAAGAAAATGAATATAGATACAGTATAGTTACTTAATGGTTATACAATCAGAATATATATAATAACAGTCCATAAATAATTCCTAGCAGTTATCATTCACTTATCCTTCTTCCGGATATAACAGTTACTACATTTTCTATTGTATAACTTGATGAAGACAATTTTGGATTGTTCAAACTTACAATCAATTAAAGTGTAAACTAGAATCACAATCTCTATAACCTAAAAACCTTGAACATATAATAAAGCTTAATTGAATAAATGCCACTCTTTGTAGTTTTATTGTAAATTCCCTATATGACAGTGAAGTGGTATTTTCCTACTTTTTCTGTATTCAGCTTTCGATATTCTTGGCTCACAAATTATGAAATTCAAATATTCTCAATGCTTTTAACCTTCTCAAGAGCAATTATAATACAGTCCTTTATGATTTGGAACCAATTTATTTGAATTTTATCTGTGATCTTCATGAAATAAATAAATAGAATATTTTAGCTGGGTTTCATTGCAAATTGACGTAATTCAGGATATTGGAGGGCATCGGATAGTTGTCATATCCGATATGGGACTCAGCAGTGTTTAACGATAGACTTTCATTGAACAAATTCGTAGTCCAGTGAATATTAAAGTTCAGTGGTTTTTCATCTTTCCATTCAAAAGCCGATTTCCTCATTATTTTGTGTTTGTTACCATAAGATTTGTCACCATTCAATGTGATACTCATTTGAACAGGCCTTGAATCTCTATTCCAGCCATTTGTAGCCTATATTGAAGATGTTTCTTGAGGTTGAGTTCTTATTGAAACACTTTTTTAGTGAATTTACAGTATATCCTCTCTTTATATTCTCACACTAGTCTTTTATAGCACGTTATTGTTTGAATGGACTGAGTTAGAATAGGTTATATCAGTCAGTATTCCTCTTATGGTATTATGTAAAGAAAAAACAGCTTTAAGTTTACTATTTCCGATAACTTCACTATTTATCAGCTTCTACAGTTGAGAATATAAGAAAGACTTGCACAAATTGCTGCTCAATTTTCTATCGATGATATTCAGCTTAAAACACTACGGAAGCTTTCTGACCGCGTATTATTTTTTGAAGTGTTTGTTTCATATTGATCAAAGGCGACTTAATAAGAGAAAAAATATAAGATTTCCATCACTTGTGCACCCTAAAAGTGTTATTGTCTTTCTGTGACAAAACCACCAATCAGAATCCCGATTAGTACTACTTCGTATATTTGATTTGACCAATTATACGTCCAACTGGCACCTTGAGCCAACTCCTAAGTCCATGTTGGTTCACGATCTGACAGCTCCTGTCTTTCTGGCCAGCCTCAGCTATTTTATATTTTAAACAAATGTAGTTCGTATTCAGGCTTACCTAACTACATCAAAATAATCATTATGCATGAACGAGCCAAACGTGGCCGTGAATGGGGGAGACAGTATATAGTAAATGATATAACACTAGTTAATGTGCCAATCTAAAGCCTATGATAAAAGAAATCTATACATAATAATCTAGTTACTTAATAATTATACAATAAAAATTCATATAATAATAGTCCCTAAATTATTCCTGGAAGTTAACATTCTTTTAGTCTTCGTTTGGATATAACAATAAAAATATCGCAGACAAGTTTTACTTGTCCAACTTTGCTTAACTTACTATAGCCTTGAGGAAACGCAAAATTTATAGAGTCAGAGAAATTTTATGTTAAAACAATATACAATTCTTGTTCTGTGATTACAATCATCAGTTGTTGTATTAATGCTGATGATAGTAATTTTTGGGTGGTTATAGTTGTGTTATATTTTTAAAGTATTTTGGATTGCAGGACAAATTTCACTCCATTGTAAAATTAGTTAAATCCTAAGTGATGCTTTGGAATCATTTAAAAATTGTCCTGTTTTACATTTTAGAATGGAGTCAGAACCACCCACTATCCATGGAAAAGCACATCATGGAGTGGACCCCGACGATCATGTTGCAGTTGAAGGGTCCGGTGAAGAATTCAAGCAAAAGATGGATGATTTTATCAAAGAATTAGCAGTAAAAATGCATGGTAAGTTAAATTCAACATTGTTTTTGCGGTCTAGTTGATCTATTCACTTTCACGAACACTGAGATACCTGAAAGTTAGTCATCAAGCTTTATTGACTGAGAAATTGTACATAAGATCTTTACTGATCTTTGACATAATAAAATTAACTAAGGTCTTCCTGATATCTTCTACAAACTCTTGGTGCTTTTCGTTCACAAAATTTCATGAGGTACTTGTGATTTATAACGCGAGTAGACAGACTAGTGATAAAGTTTGAAAAAGAAAGTAAACTGAGAATTACTTTATCGACACATTTGTCTACAACTAGTGTTGAATTCTGTGTTTTTACTGTAAGATAAATGTTAGCAATATGAGGCATATGCTATAACCCTCTTGGTAGATGGTGGTTAAATTACTTATCTGTTAGCTTATCTACTATACTCTGCATCCTAGGTCTAACTTGAACGTTAAGCACCTACTGGTTCAACTACATTTGGGCTGTTTCGAAGGTATCCATGGCTGAATATCTGTGGCACCAGAAAGACTATCAGTAATACATAGTGAAGTATGTACTTACATAGCAAAGTGTGTAGTGGGGACGTGGTTAGCTAGTATGTTGAGCAATGCGATTTTGAATCTTGGCTGGGATATACCCTTACTGATGAATAATATCCGGTAGAAAACCCACTTCTGAATCATATACTTTTGACGCTAGATGATTGTAGGCGGCCAGATGCCAACTCCGGATATAAGTCGCATGTTAGTTGGCACTCGCCAGCTAGGCATGCCTTTATTCTTAACGAAATTAATTCTCCATGTGGGATTAAGACACTCATCATCCAGCTTCATATTCTGAGATATTGCTATTCAGCTATTTTTGTTGGAACTGACTACAAAACTGAGATATTTACACTGTCTGAACTGAATTCGATTGGTGATCAAACAATTTATTTTCACACTTGTTATCTGTTTTTGACACTCTTCATCAATTACCTTCTGCTTCACTTTTTTCTTTCTAGTTCCAACAGGAGCTGTGATTGCTATGGTTATTGGTGTGATCCTATTTGTTTTATTAATATTGTTTTGTATTTGTAAACGATGCGTATTCAAACGTCGGAAAAAGGATCGTGGAGCGAAAAAAAGCAAAGCGGATATAAAAAGTGTACAACTTTTAGGCAAAGGTTTAACTAAAGATAAGGTGAGATTTATTGATGTTTATCAATGCTGTTTCTTTTTTTAATGTTTCAGTGAGCTTTTAAGTCACCTTTAAGAAATTGTTTATTACCTATCGTTTGTGAATGACCAAGTCAACTGATCTCATTGTAATGGGTGTAGGAATATGAGTCATTGGTTAATAATTGAATGTTCAAAAGTATTTGTGTTTTACATAGATGTTAGAAATAGTTTATGATGGCTTGTTGTAAAATTTTTTTATTACAATTTGTTTTCACCGTAAAGAAACACTAAAAAAATAAGGAACATTCAGTAGTTATGTTTTCATAACCTGGGAGCTGATTCAGTGGAATATTCCCATGACCGTACTATGGATCGTGTCTTGGTGGCCAACACAATACCTTTAGACCATTGAGTTGGAACCCAGATATATACATGTCAACCTTCACTTAATCTACGATATATCATGACCATCATACAATAATATCTTTGATATTTTTCTCATTTACTATATGGATGGACTTTTGTTTGATTTGCGAATATTGTTTACTGATCAACAGTTGTTGTCTAAATAGATTAGTCGTAAGGAGAATTTTGAGATGTAACCCAAGTAGTCACTTATAAATAAGTCGTTTAAAGCCTACATGTTTTCCGTTAGGAAATGTAGTCTCTATCTCCATATAGTTGGATGGTTTTATACTATTCTGTCCAGCTTGTATGAGATAGATGCACTTTTGATTATCAAATGGATAGAGCTAGATGAAACCTAGCTCACAGCATTGATATGAAACTAGCTAATTGAAAATTCTCTCTAGAATACCGAAAGAAGGTGATGTTTGGATAAGTTATTGATAAATTAGATCTATGATTTGCAAAAAGATAATAAATAAATGCATCTACTCTTTTTTACCTTATTTCAAGTCAGCTTTTCTGACTTCTCAAAACCATGGATTATTCATCAGACGTAGCCGGTATGCTGCACCTCACCATACAAACCTTACTAACAGTTTGTGGTTTCATGGGTTTGTGTGATACACTAATTTTACTGTAAAAGTTCAGTAAAATTAGTGTCGGTCTATCTAAACCTAAATCGTTTTACTTGTTCAATTCACGAAATGATCTTAGCTAGACTATCATCGAAACTAAGGATCACTTGATATTTGTTTCATCCTGATATGGGGCTCCTCAGTAGTATGCATCCACAAGCTCACTACAGGGAATCGAACGCAGGACCTTCCCTCGTTGAGAAGAATCAGAACTTTTCTAGCGGTCATCTGTGGAAGAATCTCTTTAGATATTGAGTATGTCTTTCTTTGCGTAACCATATAATAAACTACAGTAGGTCAAAGAAGAATTCAAATCTATAAAACTAACGAAAGATGTATCATTTAAAGCAGAAGTATTTTGCAACCTCTCCTATATACAAAAGGTGTGTTTTATCCAACACTTTCGGTCCTTTCTCTTATAATTTAGTGGCTGTATGCTGCACATTATGGTGTAAATCCCATTGCAGCTTTTATTTTAACTGGCTAAAGGTACCCTCAACTTTCATACACATAATTCCCTTTATTATCTTGAAGAGAACAAGAACAAAGATCCTAGCAGAATGGCATGAATTCATTTTAGTTCTTTCGGTTCTCGTCAGCTACTTGCAATGTGTGATATTTAAAATATAAAAAAAAGAGTTGAGAAGAATTTTTTTCAAGATGTAACGAAGGTATATTTATCACTAGGGCAAGGAAAGATGAATAACCATCCTCTTTTGAACAAATAAATCGAGTTTAGCTTTAGTTTCTTAATCACTTATTACCGATTCTGTTAGACTGATCAAATGTCTGCTGATTATCACTTATCTGATGATTTTTTCAAATTATCTTTCTACTAACGATTGTGAGTTCTAAATGGAATTTATACTTTATTGCAGATTAATAGGATTGTGAGTAGCTGTCATAGCATGAACCGATCCGAAGGAATTCTTAGAAGTCTAAATTTTCAGAGAAAAAAGCTTTTATTGAGCTTATTGGAATCAACTCAATTAATACACATACGAATACAATCTATTTGCAACAGATTGAGTTTTAGGATAGAATGATTTCATCATGTCAAGTAAACTGTTATTGTAAATAATCAATTCAACTGAGGGTTAGCACTCCGTAACACCAGTCCTCCCACAGCTTTATTTCTCTATGAAATTAGTACTGGTAGTGTTCAGATTTATTCCAGATATCTCAATAGTTTTACTATTTTCTAGTTCACTTATCTTATTTTTGTTGTTTATAAGTAGTATTTTGAATGATTGATTATCCAATTTATTTCGGTCTATAAGGTCATTCAAACACTGTAACCTTTTAGTTAGGTATTTCTGTCACATTGAGATGAATATAATTTCGCTTACGCACAATTCACCTTCTTTTAGGGAGATCTAGATGAATTAGAAGCAAATATGGAAGATAATGAAGGTGTACAAGAGAAGGAAGAAGTCAATTTGGGCAAACTACAATATTCTATTGATTACGATTTTACCCAAGGAGAGGTAATTTATTCATGTGAATTATTTGTTTGAAATATAAAGTACGTTTACCTACATTGTAGTATAAGAGATTCATATTTGATTGTCAGTAAGTGGTTGTAAACTGATTATTATCAGTCAGCTCACCTTGTGTGTCACAGGAATTTCACATTGTCTCTTTTGACTTACAGAAACTTTGACAGCACAATCTCAATTACTCACTACTCACAATTTAAGAACCAATATTAATCCGTGATAAATGATTTCATTTAGGATGATTTTCAGATATATATATTTATTTGAGTTTATGAGCCGGTGCTTCCAGTGCTTCCAGGTTTTCCATGGTGGCCTAGCTTTAATTGACTCATGAATTCAACTATGAAATTACTACAATTTCCACCAAAACCCTTTCTGATATTATATATTTATGACTGTATAATTCTTCAGTAAAACTATATTGTAGTAACCAGTTAGAGTTATCAGTCTCAAAGTCATAGTGTACACATAAAATAACGAGGATCATCATCGATTGTCTCAAGGTGAAGTTCAACGAAGAAATAATAATTTATTATTTACAAGACGTTCATTAAACAAATGAATTATAATGCGAGAATAAATAATGAGATGCTACTAGGTAGACAGTAGTTCATTTCATTTAATCAGTTTTTCTGTATCTGGAATATTTGTTCACAAGAATAGATTTGTCTATCCTCCGATGAGTGTACTTACAACATAATGTAAAGGCCATGTGATCTCGACTACATCCTTATAAAGTCACCAAATGGAAAATTAACTCGGATCACGTGACCGGATGTTTACATCAAACTTGGTCTTATTTTAAGATGGAAGAACCTATTGTCAATACTGACAAGTATATTGATCATTTTAAAAATGTGAATAAGTTCAAAGGATTTTCATTTTCTTATTAGCCAACAACGTGGAGAAGGTTCTCTCAGCCAGTTCTACAATCGATCAATGCCATTATTAAAATATAGTTTTATCAGTTCTTCAATCAAAACTGTAGTTTAGTCGTGTAGCTTGACGCATACTAAATAAACCTCATTTAGCCGTAGTATATAGGTGAACATTCTCAAGGTCATTTTAGCGTCGCTCAAAGGTCGTCCATAAATTATAGTCACCGACATTTTGATTCAGAAATTATATTACACACAAGGGAGAGTGAGATATGAGGAGGCTAAACAGCTCTATTGTATGTTTTAATGTCCCAGAGAGTTCTATGAGCAGATTGTGTAATGGATTCCATGGGATTTAAATTGTTTAGCATAAAAGGATTTTCGATCAGCTAGCCTTGCTACACTATGAAGTTATAAATTGCGGTGTTCATTATTCGTATTTGATTACTGAACTTTAATTTGTGAATAAGCCATCCTGTAAATGAGCAACAAGCTCTGAAATCAGGACATCATCATAATGATTTTAAGTATATATATAGGAAATAGTAATATCACTTATTAAAACATTTAACCACATTTCAGATTACTAATCAACCCTATTAAGAAACTTTCCGATAGATTTTCATTACTTACCTTTTGATTTTAAATTTTGTACTGATTATGCTGTCTAGATTGACAACTAGGAACTCATTGGAAAATCATCTATCTATCCAACTTGAAAACCGTATTATTACAAAACTTTTATCATTACTTATTCAATCATAAATAGTGTTCATTTGTTCTCCCCAATATTTGTATTAAGTTGAGATGGAAAATACAAACTCATAGTGAAGTAAGTACATCATCAAAATACCGTTATGTCTTTCTCTTCAGAATGCCAATTACCTGCATCTTCATATCTTTCATTAGCATTTAATACTACTTACTTAAGTAATCATACGAGTAGTGTTATCAACCCTTTTCGTATACATTAAAGACTTTATTGATTCTGTATTTCTTTTCTTTAATAATGATTAAGAGCTTGATTTTTTTTTCTTCTTATCCTTCATTGATTATCTGTTAATTTTTCTTGTATCACTTAGTTAACAGTTGGTGTAATACAAGCAACCGATTTGCCTGGAATGGATTTATCTGGAACATCTGATCCATATGTAAAAGTGTTTCTATTGCCTGAAAAGAAAAAGAAATATGAAACTAAAGTACATCGAAAAACATTAAATCCAGTATTCAATGAAACATTTGTGTTTAAAGTAAGGTTCTTTTATCGTATTTTGATCATAGTGAGCTTTAATTTAATGTTTTGTGGATGTTTTTTAAGGTGTATACTGATAATAGTCATGATATATGGGAATGAGACTTAGTACGCTGCGGAATCTACAAACATGGATTCTATCTGTCCCTCTTACATTGATGAATAAATATTTCAAGTGATGATTAGACATCCTGTGGTGTGCTACTTATATCGAAATAAGTAGTATATATCACAAGTCAAAAATAGAATGTATGGCAGCAGAAGATCGAAGAGGAAAGAACAGGAACAGAAAGTAATTGGTATGGAAATGCAGGAACAATGAAATCTGGGACAATTAATGAACATTTTGCAAATTAATTATCAGAGTATGGTTTTTCTATTTTACGATAAATATAATCGGTTGTCCTCACCTGTGTTCTCCTTCACTACAGTTGCCTTATCGTTTTGCTAACTTGAGGGTTAATGTCTGTTAGTCATTGGTCCCAAGAGATTTAGCTAACAAATGTAACGAACTGCATCTGACTTAATTCTTTTGAAATATTTTATGTTTGTTACGCTTTCTGATTAAAGAAAATGGATATTTTTGTGACATAAAACTACTGTACATTGTTAATTAGTCTATTTTATTGGTTTATTTTAGTTCCTTTTAAAATAGACTACATACTTTGGTTTTCACTTTCGACACTTTGACTGCATATTATGAAATAATCCAACTAAGAGAAATGAGTTAGAGCTAGTGGACAACTGATAATTTAATAAATGTAGTCTATCATTTGAAAGTTTATACAATTTGACAAGCTGCCTACGCATAAAAATTAGTCATTCATAAATGACAGAAGTATAGGTCTGTGATAAATGATAGTTGAGATACAATTTGTTGTCTGTGATTATATCGTATAACTATATGAATAAGACTTGTTCAGTTGGAATAGTTTTTCATTTTCTGTTTTCACTAATAACATGATTTAATGATTGAATTCATGAGTCAATTGAAGCTAGACAACTATGGATAATCTGAAAGAGCTGGACAGCCGTTTCGTACTAGTATTGGACTCCTCAACAGTGCTTCCAGGTTTTTCATGGTGGTCTAGCTTCAATTAATTCATGAATTCAACCATTAACTTACTATAATATCCACAAAAACCCTCCTCTGATAATAAGATTGTTTTTATTTATTTGAAATAAGCATTACACCTTTCCTGTTATCCATTTTTCAAGTGTTTCTTTGGTTAGGAAAGGCTATTAAAATCATGATATTGTTTAACTAATTGAGATTCATTAGATATTAAGGTCATTTTTGTTCTAAAATAGAAATGTTCAGTTATTACTTAGTTACACTCTTATTATTAAATTCAACTTTCTCTAGGTCACCTAGTTGTGTTATAATTAAGCATTTCGATATGTAACTACATGAATACTCTATCCAAACTGGATGATTTTGAATAGATATTGTAATATGCATTCATCAGGACTTATAGTCATTATGTTGAAAGAATGATAGGGTCATTAATTTAAACCAAAATTTATTTTCGTAGATAGATGTTTCAGATTTACTCATTCATTTTCTTCTTGTTGTAATTTATTTGAATTCACTTTTAAGATGATGTTGTAAACTGTTTATTTATTATTATTTATTTAAACATATAAACATAGGTAAAAGAAGGCAACAAATAGATAAGCGCCACATAAATCATTCTATTTGTGTGAGGGCCTTGATATTGCCCGGGTGCCTAAACCGAAGCAGGTGGTTTTCTTAAAGGGCCACACCCTGAGCCTTTGACCTCGATGCCTAATCCACAAGACAGTGGAGCAACGTGAGGAGATGCACTTTCATGGTAGCCGGCAACCAACGATTGGTTCACAAGCTATTTGTTTTCTTAGGATCCTGAAACCCATCTGCACCAGTGGTTTGGAATGAGGGTATTCCAACTCCCTTAGGTGGACTCTTCGTGTCCACCAACCTAGTTAAAGCACTGTACATTCTCTTTTTGTCCTCTCAATTTCGTAAACGATACCCCCGCGGTGAGAAGGCAGTGAGTAGGACTTCCCTGAGAGTGGTTGTATACGTGTGGCCATGTGAGAGCATTTGGAGAGCGAAAGCTGACTCTTCCGCCCTCGGCCGTACCAGGGCATTTAGGGAGTTATTTATTAGGCTTCTACAGGTGTAAATAATTATGGAAAAAGTATTGTTAACTGATGTCCTTCAGTCGATCAATCAGAATTAAGATAATACCTCATGTATTATGCGCGAAATTTAAAGTTCGTTGTCGGATAACGGGTATGTCGACATCAACAAAGTGAAAATTGGCAGTATTTGGTACCTAAAACGCTTGAAATAAATAAAAATATCTCATATATCGGAAAACCGAATTTTAGACGGTGCTAACGCCAAATAACTAATTATACCTTCTCCTAAGAAAACTTGTTTGTTTAAGTACTTGATGTGGTTTGTTGAATAATCAAGAGTATTTAGTGAAGCTAGATAACATTTTCCCTTTCTTACTCCAACTGTAAATCTCAACTATAAGTTTATCAGGTTTATAAACAGAAGGGGTGACAAAGCATTGCTGTCAATTCGTGCTCAAAACCCTGAACTCAATTCGTAAACCTAATTCAAAACTTCAGTTTAACTCGATATACCTAACTCTAACCTCTTTGCTTTATAACCGATGTCATTTTGTGAAGAAATCTCTATAGGGTGACAACATTAACTCACAACACTAGCTTGACATTTTTCTTTACTACGAGGGTCACTTTGGTATTTAAGGATCAATTATTCAAATCAAAGCTGTTATTTTGCTGTTATCTCATTGTTTGTAATACTAATTGTTTTATAACTAGACAGTTTAGATGGTGGTTGGAGATAGTCAACAGGAAACCCTGGACCCGGGTTTCGTGCTACTTGGCACTCGTCAGCAAGGTGTACCTGTAATCTTGAGGGAACTGGTGCTCCCTGGCGGATTCGATCTCGTGTCACCCAGCTTCACAGTCAGAGACGTTACCACTGAGCTATCCGAGCCGTGACTAACCTCCTGTAGGACTGAGATGTAATCACAATTGATTGATCACTGGGTGGTGATCAATCAATTGTGATTACATCTCAGTCCTACAGGAGGTTAGTCACGGCTCGGATAGCTCAGTGGTAACGTCTCTGACTGTGAAGCTGGGTGACACGAGATCGAATCCGCCAGGGAGCACCAGTTCCCTCAAGATTACAGGTACACCTTGCTGACGAGTGCCAAGTAGCACGAAACCCGGGTCCAGGGTTTCCTGTTGACTACCTCCAACCACCATCTAAATCTCAATACATAGCGCCCGCAGTGTCGAGTCACCTAGACTGGTGGCCACATTGCAACATGATCGATAGCATTCGATCTGCACTAATAAGGACTAGACAAGCATGACATTGATCACCACCCAGTGATCAATCAATTGTGATAACTAAACAGTGTTTCGCGACTAGCCGATAAGTTACCCAAGGTCGGATCATATTGAATAATCAACTGTAGTATAATAAGAACAGGTGCATGAAGAACACAGTGATTCTCCTAAATTTTAAAGCTTATATTTCTGTTCAGTTCAAGGATCTTACTGAAAGATTAAACAACTATTTAGAGAGACTGTTATGGTCGTCTCAGAGAAGTTCCAGCATCCGCCTGTAGCTCTTCGAGGGTTACTGCCGGTCCCAAGCCCGGGTAAAGGAAGATGGTTAGGCATGTAGTCAGCAACCCCACCCCATAGAAAACAACCTTGCTGAAAAACGCTAACCAGAATAAACAGAGAAATTACACACCTACCTTTTTTTAGAATTTTCATAGAAGTATCATACTAAGACAAAAGAGCTGTTCAGTGTTTCTCCGTTTAAAGTGGTTCCCTAGCTAAATTCAATCCAGTTTGCCATATAAAATAAAATCTATTATTGAAAAAGAAAGATTAATAGTTAATTAGAAATTGAATAGGTTTTCATTAACTACAAGTTATTCTGATTTACTGTGTGTACCTAATCGGAATTACAAGCTCATCTGATGCTTTATTGGGATTCCCTTCACCTTGAATCTTATTTATTCTCCTTTATTTTAATGGGCCACTGACATAGTCCACGTCTTTTGTCTTTTCTTTTTTTTAATTTCTTCAGCTTCTATCCAAATCTATTCACTTTGACATTTCTTTACTGACACTGAAGAGCACTAGCTTTAATGGGGTTGATTAAATTAGCTTTGTCTTGAAGTTAATCAATTGTTTTTGTTTTCCTGAATCATCTGAGGTTTTTAGTTCAACTTTAGGTTTTTTTTATTTGGAAGAATTACAAGTGGAGAGTCGCTTTTTTAATTACCTATAAGGTGTATTTGCTTTACCTTTTAATTTTGTTTGGAATAACTATCAAACGATTACAGCTTAGTTTTGCTTCATTCGCTTGTCACTTCCACCTGGTTGCAATGTCGCCGAAAATACATTAGGATTTTAGTTAACTATTATCTATATGGTGAGGTACTACTCTATTCAGGCTTATGATTTGCCTTTGTTTAATGTGTTTAATGAATATTTTTGAAAATACGATCAGTGGCAGTTAGTACGTCATTTTTTCTACGGTATAATTCCTAAATGCTCCGTGTAACCGAATAAAGCTTAGTCTCTTATATAATATTTTTGTGTTTCTGCCCATTCTGTTAAGGTTCCATATGCCGAGGTTGGGGGAAAAACTTTAGTGTTCAATGTTTATGATTTCGACAGATTTTCGAAACATGATCAAATAGGTCAAATTCAAGTACCACTTGGATCTGTTGATTTGGCACGCGTAATTGAGGAATGGCGCGATTTAAGTCCTCCTGATGATGATGAAAAGGTGAGTTTGTGTTCAGTTCATTTAGTTTTGGCACCACTGATCAGTAGTTTTATGCACGAAGCAATTTTTTTTATTACCTCAGTTATCTAATATAGACCTGTTACTCTTGATCGGTTTACACTCAATCATTCATATCACATCGAATGTTAGGAAAACTTCCAGCTCTTTGATCGAACTTGGTTATTCCGAATAGTTTGATGAAACATGCATAATTAAACTGAAATGTTCATTGGTGAATCCTGTTCTTGTTCAAAAATAAAAAAATAGGATTTTTCCAGAACTACTTTAACGTTCAAACATTATAATGGTAATGCTAAGAGACAGTTAATCATGTCTGTCATTTGAAAGATTTCTGAGTGCTTCAGTTGTTGCCTAAACCATTAGAAATATTCTATTTAGAATATAAAACTTAATAGAATATTGGCTTTAAACGGTGGTTAGTAGGCTTGTAACTGTATTGTGAAGCAACTACTTATTCCAAGTCATGATAGCTGTTAAAATATCTATTATTTTTTCACATACTAGGTAAGTTTTATTTTGCAGGTGGGGACAATGATAACTTTTCTTAAAGTTGATCATATTTTCTAAAATGTTAGTAACATCATTGATTTGGGTTCCTCTTCATTTTCGATCGTGAGTGGGGTTTTTTTGTAGTTGGAGCTCTTTCTTCAACATCATCAGGTGGTTCGGTATTCACCGGTTATAAAACGAAACTTAGGATATTTCGAAAAGTAAACCAATGCTTAGTACCGTGCATAACATCAATTTCTTGTTCAGATATACAGTTGTATTTCAAATACAAGTTGTAATCATCACATCATAGTCTTCACATTTTATTATATTGGATGAATAATTTGAGTCAACAATCAATAAGTTCTGTTAGGTTTTATCGCGTTTCTTTTTTCTAAGTTAGACAAACTTTATTCATACTTACTGTTCAATATAATAAACCCATATGGATTTCAGAATGATCTGAATTAATTCGTAGAGTGTACTTCTTTTCAATGAACTGTAATGATTCTTTCAGACAGACTGATCACAACTAAATGTTTACATTGATATCGTGAATGGATCAATCTATACACAACAATCTCCACAACCCTATACTCGTCATTATCATGTGCTCATTAGTGACTGACTTCAAGGTGGATTTCCTGGAGTTCTAGTGAGAAGCAGTAACCAGTGGAGTTCAACCGTGTCTGTTGTGAGGCAGTTACTCATTGAAGACAATGGTGGGCAGTCGCGCAATATCGCGGATTGGTTGAAATTGTACATTAACACCGTTGGGTACCGGTTCATTGGTCTAGAGTTTAAGCGTTTGCGCGCGAGACCGAAGGTTCTGGATTCGAGCCCTGCGTGTGGGATCGTGGATGCGCACTGCTGATGAGTCCCATAATAAAACGAAACGGCAGTCCAGTGCTTCTAAGTTTTCCATGGTGGTCTAGCTTCAAGTGACTCATGGTTTCAACTATTGAAATTACTAAAATCTCCACAAAACCCCTTCTTACTAAGTAATTACTGTTATAAAAGAATAAGAACTATTTTTTTCACTTTCTAAATAAAACATTGAAAATCAGTAGACTATTATTGTCCTTTATGATTTGACAATGGTTCATATTTCATGTTTTGAAGGAAAATCGTCTTGGTGATATTTGTTTCTCATTACGTTATGTTCCAACTGCTGGAAAATTAACTATCAATATTTTGGAAGCTAAAAATCTCAAGAAAATGGACGTTGGTGGATTATCTGGTTAGTTTAAATAATAAATTTGGTTTTTTTCTTCTTTTTTTATTTGAGAAATAAAGTAACTTCAACACAGTATTGAATAGATTAATCGATTGTAGGTCATTTAGCGCTAATGGTCAATTAGGACAAATCAAAAACAAATCAGTTATACAGTGAATTAGTAATGTAAATCAAGATAGATTTTCTGGTAAACTACTGACAAGTACATGTTGGGGATGTTAGATCCCCAGAACTCACATTGAAAAGGTCCTAATTTTGTAATTTTATTTTGGAAATTTGAATTTCTTTGTCTTCGCGCCAAAAGCGCTCTTTTCACCTTCATATAGTATTTCCCACTTGGGAGAATCTTAAACTCTATTGGTCCATTGTGTCTTTAAGTATGCTATTTCGTAACGCGTCCCAAGGACGGTTTTGTGCTGCATATATACGTCTTGATTTGTGCCTGTTGTTATCGCTCATGCTTCTGGCTTTTTGCGGAATATACTTCCCCGTTCGAACTTCGACTTTTCTCTCTAGTTAACGGGGTTGAGATGCAACAGAATAGCTAGTTTATTGGTCTTTGGTCACAAGCCTTTGTTCCGTTAGTAGACTAAGTGAACTCGTAATCGCTTCAAACATAGCGGTACAGTTTTTCCTCTCTCTGTTTTCAGTATGAGAAAATGACATATCTTAGCAACAATAAATTCTAAATAAGCAATTCGGTTGCTAAGTTACATCGAACGAATATAAACGTTTGTTAAAATTATATTTTTTTAAAATGATCTTATCTATAATTGTGGTTAATTACAATTTATGATAACATTTACTGAAGCAGTTAAAATTCACATGTGAAATAGGTATCATTACCAAGGTTTGACTTGATCATTTCGAATGAATTAAGTATTGGGTAGCTTGTTATAGATAAATTAATATATTTGTAATATCCCAATGAGTAGAAAAATTAGATTTGCTGACCAGAGAAATACTTCTATGAGTTAACAATATGTGAGTATCTCTGAGATGGTGGATAAGATTTGTAGCTCAGGTGGATGATTTTGATGGACTTTTGTTCTCTGAGCTGGATAGTTTGGTCGTGGAGCTTTCATCGTTCTTCTAAACAACATTATCAGCACAAACTTCAGATAGAAGGGAAGTGTTCGAATTTCTCCATATGCGTTTCACAGCTTGTTCTGAAGCTTTTGCTGATTATGTCGTTCAGAAGAACGATGAAAGCTCCACGACCAAACCATCCAGCTCAAAGAACAAAACTCCATCAAAATGTGAGTATCTCTTGCACTCTAAAGAATATCCTACCTATTTAAATCTAACAAAAGTGATTGCCTCACAACAGACACGGTTGAATACTGGTCACTGCTTCGCAATAGAACTCCAGGAAATCCATTTTGATTTGGTTACATATTCTCTGAAGAAGGAACTTACACTGAGTCACGAAACGTCGGAAAATCTAATTTTTCTAATCATTGGGATATCACAAATATATTAATTTATTTATCATATGTAGAGTGTTTAACTTAAATTGTGTGGAGATAACCAAAGTAACCCAGTGAGTTATTGGTGAATAAACAAAAACATAATTTGAAATGTCTATCTTACTAACATAGGTAGGCGTAATTAGACTTGACAGTTTAATAGATTTGATGAATCTTAACAGATCTCTTTAATGATTGAGTTCTCAGTGAGATTCTTACCTCATACCGAACTTTTTGAATGCAATCACTTTGTTAGATACACATTATAAACTCATGGAAATAGTTCTCTGGTCACGAAATAATCTATTCACGTAAAATAGGCTTCATAAGGAGACAGTTAAATTTTCATATAGAAATAAAATATAGATTCTTCTTGTACCTTTGAACATTTATACTGACTAAGGTCAATTATTAAACGTTTGATTTTGCTTGGAGCATCTACAATCATGACTGACATCTTAGGCAGTCAGGGATGATATTGCATGTTTTCTAAAACCAATATAGATCAATAGTTATGTTTTCATTTTACTGAGAAAACGTTGTTTTATACAAGATTCTATTATATTTTCCCTGAATTCAAAAACTGCTTGATAATGTTTGTATAGATGCTAAATTAAAATGGGTATCAAAACAGAGAAATCTCTGTTGCTGGTTAACACATTCATGATGGTTCTATATTGAAGTGTTTTGTTTTCTTTATAATATTGAATTACTAAATTTATTAATCATTTATCCCAACATTATTGTTCGTAGATCCATATGTTAAACTTTCTCTAATGTTGGGAGGGAAGAGAATTAAAAAGAAGAAGACTACTATTAAGAAATGCACATTAAATCCCTATTACAATGAATCGTTTGCATTTGAAGTACCATTTGAACAAATCCAAGTAAGTAATTATTAAACAAGAAAAATCAACCTTTTTAATGCTGAAGGAGTTTTTTTTGTATGCTGTTTATCATTCTCCACTTCACAAGACAATGTCTCAAGCTTATACACAATCTGAAATAACATTTAATTACTACAAATAACAGTATAACAGGGAAGTAGGGAAGTCCAAACCTTCCAGAAAAAAAGAATAATGACCTTGTAATCATTGAACCAAGTCGTCTAACTAGATCATCTACATAACTAAAAGTAAACCAATTAGTGAAAACCCTGTTGGTTCTGTGATCAATAACGTCATTACAATAAGTTGTGAAAATATTTACCATAACATTGTTTTAGAGACACACAGAAACCCCCGTAAATTCTGACTTGAAGGACGACTCATTATTTACATTAAAACAGAATTAGACCTTTTAAATTTTATTCTGATGTTATACTTTTCTCATCTGATAAACCGACAAGCTACCTTAGAACTATACACCACCGTGCCTAAATTTCCCAGCATAATTCACAACTTTAGAAATAACCACTAGATTATTTGGTGACATTTGAGAGGGTATTTACTTTTGAAAATGCTGAAACAGAAAGCCAGACGACTGTTTAAGACGCAGATACACGTGTAGCAATCTCTGATTTTTCCTATACTTACAACGAGCTACTGGGATCGGAGTTCAATACTGTGCTTTCACTTGATTAGTTTAACTAGCTCGTACGTAAAAACTAAAATGTCACACTTTAACTTTGATGAAGAAACAACTAAAGCCATTTTCAGATGTAACATCTTCCTATGCATTAGAATTGTACTGGCATTAGTAAATCAGAGACGTATTTTCTTCAGAGAATCACTTCATGCTACATTTCATCTTAATTTATTTATTTGCAGAAAGTAACATTGATTGTGATCGTGGTAGATTATGATCGAATCGGTACATCAGAAGCAATTGGCCGAGTTGTTTTAGGTTGCAATGAAACAGGAGCGGGTTTACGTCATTGGTCAGACATGTTAGCCAATCCTCGTCGACCTATTGCACAATGGCACACTTTGCAACCAATGCCTGAAAAAGGTTAAAATATATATATAATTGCAAAAGAAAACTCAAACAATACACTCAACAATTTATTTCACTATTTTCCTCTAGTGTACCTACCTACCTATCTTTCTAACAGGATTATATTCTAACCACAGAATAATAAAACATTTAGAATGATATGTAACAAATGAAAAAGCCAATACAATAAAACCCTACGAATTGTGCATTTCTTATATTTATCAGTTACTCATTTCGCCGGGCTCTATTCTACTATTTGAAATAGTAATGAAAAGATTAGAAAGATATTAATTTAAAAGTGTAACTTCAATGTGTAACCAATACAGAAACTATACATCACTTATGGATACTTAAAAAAAAAAAAAAATAATAATAACCATCTTTTTTCATTTAGTGTTTTCTTAATGAGAATCATTTCAATTAATTAATCCTTTCCTTGGTCTAATTTGTGTCAACAGGAAAATCACAGCTAATTTTGAAGTTCTTTACATATAATTAAAGTTTATCTGGTTCGTCTTTTATTTAATACCACTCTTATATATATATATATATATATATATATATATATATATATATATATATATATATATATATATACACACATAATCCTTCTCCCGTTTTGTTTCTTTTTTTCGTGGGGAATCATTATGACATTTATTCCCATACAAAATAATCTGTTATCTTGTTTTTTCTGATAAAATAATAATAATAATAATACTAATAACCACTCTGTTCATGTTATTTTTCTTTTACACGTCGTATATACATACATCAATACACATAATATACATTTCAATCTTGAATTTAGCCTCTTTATTAATTGTACGAGTTTTAATTTGTCTTAAGAGTATTGTTTAAATGATTAATTCTTTGTTAAATGGATATTCAATGTACGTCAATATTCATCGTCTTTTTTCTCTCTCTCTCTCCTTTTAAAACACATATAAATACGAAGAGTTCATTATCATGTGAAGTTCGAAATAAAGATCTCTTTATTGATTAAAAGTCTGTTGCATATAATCGAAGTAACTAATTGTGTCATTTTTATTCTGTTACATATGTCAAATATACAAAATAATTTATTTAGACTACACATTCCGACCGTTGTTGCTACCTTGACATGGTGGTCGGTCTTACCTATTTTTATGAACCAATCGGGCTATACTGGTTGAAACTATCATTCTTCAAGGTCCTATCATGTCAGATAGGTTGGTTGAAGAGTGGTAAGACTAAAAGTAGCAAACCCAAGTTCCGAAAGCGAAGTCTTACTGGCGACTGTACAGAGGTGTGTTGGCAGTAAGGTGTTTTCTTCAGACATCCAGCATAACAGCAATGCTGTCTTCCCACAAGGAAGAGTGGGGTTAGGAAAGGTCCATCCTATAAATGCACACCTCACCTTATCCCACGGATATCCGTCCCCGGCGGTAAGGTTCCAGCAAGTACGGAGCTAACACGGAAACTACTCACAAAAAGGTCGTGTGTGGCCGACTTCAGGCAGTTGTTCCTTGGGTTCTGTGGTCACACTCTCAAGTCACCAAGGCCACCTCTAACCCAATTTCCTTTTCAGGTACCTCTAGAAGAACCCTTCCACGGTGTGGGCAACTGGGAAGTGATAACCACCCTCATACCTCTAACAGCACTCAAGATCACTGTATTCATAATCAATCTCCCTCTTCAATTCCTATTATTTCTCCTGCATCGACTTTCAACACTGTACTTGTTCTTTTGACTTCCTCCTCAAGTGTCACCATGGCCAACGATTCGGGTGAGAGAAACAGTCTCAGGTCTGCTGAGACCTATCTTCAAACTACAGCCTTCAACGTACGCACCCTATTTCAAATCGGCCAGCAAGTCTCCTTAGCTAAAACCCTAGAATCTCGTACCATTGATGCATGCTGTGTCGCCGAAACACGTATACAGGATCCTAATGTGGTCATTCACTTGACCTCACCTAGCCAAAACGGAGAGCCGACGAGACATACTCTCCGTTTATCTGGCGACCCGATGACTAGTTCTCGTGGACCGGCGGATGTTGGTATAGAATGGATCACTCTTAACAGTCAACTATCTGCTGTTCGGCTAAACGGTTCTGTAAGAAGTTAGAAGGATAGAGACACACGTCGTTGCCTTTTCGTCGTTTCTGCCCATGCTCCCGCTGACTGTAGCCCGGATGAAGTGAAAGATGATTTTTACAGAAGACGTTCTGGACTTCTTCAAAAAAACTAAACGCTCAGACAGTACTTGTAGCGAGGACGACTGAGGTCACACTTAAGCAGTTCTGAAAATGAGGCTGATTCAGATGTTGCTTGGAAAAATATACGAGGAGCTGTGGAAACAGCAGCGACATCTACTAGTGATTTGAACCAAACCAATGGATATCTACTAAGTCTCTTGCACTGATAGATTCTCGTAAACTCATTCCATCAGGCTCTGAATACGACGAAGAGGAAAACAAATCAGATCTAGGTTAACCAAAAGTCTAAGAAGCCACCGTGAGCAGTGGTGGGCAACGAAAGCAAAAGAGATGGAAAAGGCAGGGGCTGTAGGTAACACAAAACAACTTTCCGGACCAATAAAAGAAACTGGAATTAAGAAGTCAAGTGAGTGAGATGATCTCTGAAAATGACGACACTTATCTCCTCTCAACCCGGACGTTTAGAACGATCGGCAGAACACTTTAAGAAGAGGTTCAGCTGCTCTACAACTACCCAACATTCCCAGACATCCTGAATGGAAAATCGAAGTAGGCCCCCCGATTTCAATTGAAGTTGAAAAAGCTATAGCTAATCTGAAACGAGGTTCAGTTTGAGCGACTATGTTGACTAACATTTTAGCTAAAATCTGGAAACTGGACATAATCCCATCTGACTGGTCGCAATCACTGATTGTCCCAATATATGAGGGGTAAAAACATCCTGTGACAAACATAAAGGGATTAGTGTGACTAACATATCATCTAAAATACTAGCCTTTGTAATCATCGGACGCCTAACAAACACTCGTGGACTGCAAACACGAAGAAATCGGGCTAGCTTCAGACTTGGTCGTGGCTGCATCAGCCACATATTCACTATTCGGCGTCCGAAATTGATAATCTTTCTTGACTTAAAAGCAGCATTTCACTCTGCAGAACGAGAGGTTCTGTATCAGTGTTTGTTATTGAAAGGCGTACCTCAGAAGTACATAAACCTTACCCGAGCACTACCAGTCGAGTCAGAGCTTATGGCGAACTTTCATCTGATTTCGCAACCTCAAGTGGTGTCCGGCAGTGCTGTCCACTATCTCAATTTCTGTTTAATTTCATCCGAGACCTACTGCTGGAAATAGCGTTCTCGTCGACTGAACTTTCGCGCATCGATCTCTTACCAAGAGGTCCACTTATCGACTTAGAATACGCAGATGACATAGTCCTGTTTGGCGAAGACGCTGATAAAATGTAGTCTTTTGGTAGCACTGAGCAACAATGACAGGATGTTTGGAATGCGCTTCTCCTCCACTAAATGCAAGTTTTTGCTCTAGGACTGGCCTGCGTCAACATCTGAACTAAGAATAGGGAGCGAAGAAGTCAAACGCGTCAACAAATCCACTTACCTTGGAAGTCTGGCCAGCCCTAATGGGTTGGTGTCTGACGAAATCTCTGCACGAGTTCAGAAAGCCCGTTTGATTTTTACCAACTTACGCCACCTATGGCGAAGGCGAGATATCTGTGTATCAATTAGAGGATGTGTATACTGCGCGGCAGTTCGTTCTGTTCCACTTTACGGTTGCGAAACGTGGTCATTAAAGGTAGAGGATACTACTAAGTTGCTTGTATTTGATCACAGATGTCTTAGAAATATTGCTCGCATCACCGGGTAACTAGTAGTGTGGTTAGACGCAGGGTATTAGGGAATGATGGTAAATCAGTTGATGAGGTTGTAGATTTCCACCGACTCAGATCGTTGGGCCACGTGTTACGTATTCCTGAATACCGATTACCACGATGCGCAATGCTGCTGACTAGTGTTGGACACGGTTGGAAGAAAGTTAGGGACTGCCAAACCAAAACGTGGCATCAGTCTTTGAAGTCACTATCTTCTAGTCTGACCCATGTTGGTAGGTGTAGACTACTTGGTTGGGGTCCACGTGACTATCGTAACCAGTGGTTGGAGACTCTTGGTGACATGGCTCAGAATCGATCACAAAGGCATGGGTGCATAAACTCTTTGTCTTCCCTTAAACCGTGAGATTAAAATTGATTTATATCTTTCTTTCTACGAACTGATTCTTTCTCCCTGTATCATATCATTATATAAAATCTTTCTTTTATATATTACTACCATTGAAGTAACTATTTCTATGAATTCGGTGTTCACCTTGTTGTGCTAATGAGGTGTGACAACTTGGACCGACGCATATATGTGCCTCGTCCTACGTTGTAGCTAAATGACTGCAGATCATTCCGCCACTCACTCACAGACCAACATTACGAAATAAATAAAAGTAAATGATTGATATGGAATTGTAATTATAACTTCCTTACAGCACAACAGTGTAAATGTACTGATACATTTAAAAAGCAACCAGTTCAGAAATAACATCACTACAGTGCAATAATCCAAATGAAATGCTTGGTGACTGAAATTTTACATAAAGTACAAAATTTAACCAGTAAGTAATTCTAAAAATTTTGGTTTTACATACAAAAGATATAGCTGAAATGAGTTGGGTTTGTGAATATCAAGGGCAATAAAAAACACGCGCGTCTGTTAGTTTTATTGTTGATGACAGTTAGCTTTTGATAGAAATTGTACATTTACACGTGAGTACAAGTGGGATACTTTAACGTACTGTTAAAAGCAATCAAAAGCCATTTTAATGAAGAAAACGAACTTGTGAGAGATTTTCCATTACTATATTAGTTGTCCCAATATTTGGCATAATAATTCAGGTTTCTGTGTGGTGCGCTGTAGGTTCTAGGGTTCCACACTGTTGTATTTGGACTGTCAAGATCATACCGCTGAGCGTTTTCATTCTGTGC